AACATTTACAAAATCAGACATAATTATAAAATAATTGTAACAATAAATCATTATTATAATAATAAAGTTATAATAACAATACAGTATAATAAACCCCAATATAACTATAACCCAACTTCAATAATTATCCATATTTGGCCAAATTTGTTTCATCTAAACCTCCACCACTGCCCCATACTTTAAATTCTTAGAAAATAAATCCCATGTTATGTCACTTCATCCACAAATATTTCTCCAAAAGAGAAAGTCTTCTTTCCCTGTTAATTTAATCACAAAATAATGATCAGAGATTTTAAAAAATCAGCAAATATGGGGCTGGGGATGTGGCTCAAGCGATAGCGCGCTTGTCTGGCATGCTTGGGCCCGGGTTCGATCCTCAGCACCACATACAAACAACGATGTTGTGTCCGCCAATAACTAAAAATAAATATTTAAAAAAAATTCTCTCTCTCTCTCTCCCTCTATCACTCTCTCTTAAAAAAAATCAGCAAATACCCAATCAGTATTCAAATTTTTATAATATTCGTATATACATCCATACATAGCTCTAAACAATGTCTCCACATTGTATTTGTTCATGTATCCCAAGTAATTTGGGACAAATAACCTTATGGATGCAAAATCTATAATCAATAGGGTGCACCATTTTAAGTGTACAGTCCCGGACTGGGGATGTGGCTCAAGCGGTAGCGCGCTCGCCTAGTGTGCATGCGGCCCAAGTTCGATCCTCAGCACCACATACAAAGATGTTGTGTCTGCCGAAAACTAAAAATCTCTCTCTCTCTTTTCTGTATTAAAAAAAAAAAAGGTGTACAGTTCCATGAGTGGTACTGAATGTGTGTACCTGTGTAACCACCAGTACAATTAAGATACGAATCTGTAATCCCAGCAACTTGGGAGACTGAGGCAGGATTGCAAGCTTGAAATCTGCCTCAGCAATTTAGTGAGGCACTGTCTTAAAGTAAAAAATAAAGGGGCTAGGGATATAGCTCAGTTGGTAGAGGGCTTGCCTTCATGCACAAGGCCCTGGGTTCAATCCCCAGAACCATAAAAATAAATAAATAAATAAATAAATAAATAAATAAATAAATAAATAAATAAAATAAAACTAAAAAATAAAATGTGGTGCTGGGGATATAGCTCAATTAGTAGAGTGCACAAGATCCTGGTTCAATCCCCAGCACCACAAAAATACATAAATAAATAAATAAATAAATAAATGAAAATGTGTTGGGAGATGTGGCCCAGTGGTTAAGTGCCCTGAGTTCAATCACCAGGACGAAAAAAAAAGGAAAGGTAAAAAGAACATCTATCACCCAAAAGTTTCCTTGTGCCCCTCTTAGTTAACTCTCTCTACTTCCACCTATTCCCAGGAAACTAGTGATCTGCCTTCTGTTATCAGATTGCTTTTAGTTAGTTCGTACATGCTATTG